CAGAACAGACCTCTACAAAATTACAACAGACAAAGCAGACATTTGTGTTTGGTTTGTTGGGTAAATATATTTCCTCCAGTTGCATAAAGACTCTCCCACAAGCATGAAGATATAACAGAGACAGAAAACATCAAGAAATTTGCTTTAACTAGATAGCTGATTTTTACTACAATCGAAATACAGTGAATAAAATGAATGGATTAGCAGTTCTTTATCAAGACAAGCAATAAAGATACTGTCATGATTTGGGGGCAATAAGGGAGAGATTCAGCAAGCAGTGTGGTCACGATCGGAAATTTGATCAAACTATAGTAAACTTCTCCTTGAAAAGATCAGTGCATCAGTTGAGCTTTAGTCAGCCACATCATCCTGTAAATTGCTTTCAAGATAAGCCAGTACATAAATTCCCTTTGCAAAGATCTGTCACTTCAGAACAGTCCTCCTACAGACAGAAACATGGCATTTAATGGTACCTGGAAAATAGACAGAAATGAAAACTATGAAAAGTTCATGGAGGCGATGGGTAAGTCTTACCTTTCCAATGCCTTCTACAAGAATAATACCACTATGGCTGAACACAAACTTGAGCTGTCTGTGAACTACCTTCTGGCTAGCCTGTCCTTTTGCTGTTTGCTGCTCTGCCCTTGCATAGTGTACTGCATTTATATTCAAAAGATTCCACAGCGGGGGCGGGGGGGAGGGGGAAGATACCAAGAAATGCTCTGATTTTGATTACATTATGTTAATCTTAAGCAACTTAACTAATTCCAGCAGATTTCTTGCAGCAGAGGAAAGAATCTCTACGTCTACATTTGAGGAAAAGGCTCAGAGAATTTGAATGATAAAATTTAAGCAGAATTCTATAGCAGGAATATTATTTTGATAACTTGAAACTAGTTTAAAAATTACACAGGAAGGAGATCATCATTCTTCAATTTTACAGAAACACATGAATTAAGTAATTTTAACATCTTGATACTTTAAGTTTGCATAAACTGTGTCTTATACGGATATAAACATAACCATTCTAGTTGGATGGTGGTTTGTATTATAGCTGTACTGGTACACATGGCTTCAATAAAAAGTGAAGAATAAAAATTCAGGTCAGAATGCTGGAATAAACTTACTTGACCACATAAAAGTCACTAAAAAGAGACAAATACGATGGTCTAGGGTTTTGTTTTCTGATTGATGTTAATTGATTTTTCTAGGTATTAACATGATGAAAAGAAAGTTAGGAGCCCATGATAATCTGAAGATCACTATTCAACAAGATGGAAACAAATTTACTATCAAAGAATCCAGCACCTTCCGTACCTTAGATATTGAATTCACTCTGGGAGTCAGTTTTGAGTACAGCCTGGCTGATGGGACTGAACTTACTGTAAGAGACTTTCTATGTAATTATATATTTGTTATACGACGATAACTTTATGAAGTAGAGTTTCAAGATGAATGATTTGTCTTCCCAGTTTTTAATTTTTTTATTTTTGGGGTTTTTTTAAAGTTTTTTAAATTTTACTTTTAAAGTGTGACTGTTCAGGAATGCTTGAAGCTTATCTACAAAAACGCAAGATGGTCTTAACTGTTAATGGTTCAACACTGTACCATGAAACTCACGGTTCGATAGATTGCCCCAAAAGAAGAGTACATAGCAATTTTCAGACGATTAAATCCAGCTGATTGCAATTTTAATTCCTACAATACTCAAGTACACCACCTGGAGTACAGAGTGGGTATTTGTACGGAATTTCTTGATAGAATCAATTAAAATAATGTGTACTAAAGAAACCTATCTTGGCTATAATGCAATTAAATAAACTAGTGGTTTTATTAACATTTCATTTTCCCAGCCTTTCCATCTATGTCCAAAAAAAGCATTACACTGTTTTAATCTCTTCTCACTTTTAAGCATTCCCACAGGCTTTAAATCAAATCAGTGTCATATCTATTGCAAAATATTAGGCTTTTTTTTTTTTCCCATTACAGGGTTCTTGGAACACAGAAGGAAATAAACTTGTAGGAACATTTACTAGAAAAGATAATGGAAAAGTACTCACAGCATACAGAGAAATCATAGGTGATGAACTTGTTCAGGTGAGTTAAGCAGTCGCTTACAACTTTACAACAATGAACTGAAATAATTTTAAAAGCTGTTCTGAAAGTAGGAAGTGTTTTCTTCAAGCCAAATAACCTCAACTATCTTTAGCTGAAATTCTCGAGTAATCTATCAAAATGTAAAATTTTGAAATAAACCTCGCCATCTGTGCTTTTTACAATTTTTTACAATTTTCTGCCCATGTGAACTGTATCTTAGCCATGCATCCTGCAGCCTGTAAATACAAGCTGTATACAGAACACACAGATACACACACACACATACACACAATATAGATGTGTTCTGACTGAAGGCCCTTTTCCAAGTGTCTGCCTTGCAAAAGCCTTACTGCAGGAGCTTACTACAGGGTAACACTGTCAATAGCTGATAAATGCCCTTTTAAAACAAAGTTTGGGGTTGGGACAGTGGATGATGGCACAGAGGGGTAAGTTTGAGACAAAAGGGAAATGCTTCACAGCTCTGCAGTAAAGCCAGAAACTGAACTGAACTGTAATGCTTTAAGATCCTCTCTGCTAGCAGGTCACAAGCTTCTGAAATAAATAAAACCTTATGGACAGGTGTGAGACTGGAGATACCAAAAACATACAGTCTGACCCTTCAGTGATTCTTCGCACTTTGAATAAAAGCAGTCACATAGATGAAGCTTGTTAAGTAGTGGTATTGGGAATACGGCACTTCAACACCTTGGGTTTTTACGGAAGCCCCCAAAAGCTGTCCCATGGTGGTTCAAATGTTTGCATAGAGAATTTACACTTATTGACAATAGGCTGCTTTCCTTACGTTCCTTTCCTCAGAGCCTGCACGAGGGCTGGTAGGCCCCACATGGGCCACGAGTCACAATTAATTAAATCACTATTGACCATCTCTCTATAGCATCTGTGAAATGAAACTTTGTCACAGCAGACATGGACCTTCTCTTCTTAATTTCTTAACAGACCTACGTATATGAAGGAGTTGAAGCCAAGAGAGTCTTCAAAAGGGGCTAAGTACTTCAACCAGAACAGCACCAGAATCAAAAAAACAATGAAAAAAAGACCATTTTCTACATATCTTCTGTTGTGTTTTTTTTTTCCCCTTTTATCCCCTCACAGCACCTCCTAAGTTGCAATTACTTAGCCCTGTTGAAAGCACAGGTTAGTTCCTTATGTTTACTGTTTTGCCTTGAATAAACAAAATCCAATTACAACTTGATACAAATGCTAAAATGTTATTTGTACCAAGTCCCACTGGAGTGCCACACTGTAAAAGGCTGCAGAAACTATTTTCTATAAGCAAAACTTAAATACTTTTTGTACTGGTTCTCAAATGGCAACTTAGTTTCCTTACCATAATATTTATATTGATAAACAGTTTCTCTGTGTATTGAATATTGTGTAATAAAGGATAGCAAAAGCTAAAAGAAACCTGACAACACCCAAGTCTCTAAGACTATTCTATGTAAATATAAATATTCAATAAACATGAAATATGGTGTGATAATACAGCTCACTTGGAAGACTTAAATGATACCTCGCTCATATCACTAGGAATAATATAAAGCACATACTGACAATATACAGGTATCTCACATAAAGTAATTCCATTGCATTTGTTTCTAAAAGTATGACCGTGCTTTTAAACATGTAGATTTTGAGTTGTTCCAGGTGATTAGGGGTTCAAATCATTCTGCGTCAGGAGGAGTATTAGCAGGGTCGGACTGAGTTTCTTTCAAGACATGAATAAAAATACTGAAGGGATCTTAAGAAGATAAAGAACTATTTCAGACTACGTTGACATCAAACACCAGTGTTTCTGATGAGTGACAAATATGCACCATGCTCTCCTCTGTTGTCTGGTCTCTAAGTGCTATTTTCAACCCAGCCTCACCTCCCTTGAGCTGCGCCATTTCCTACGGGTTGCAGTAAAACTGCCTCTCGAGGGTCATCACTAGTTAAGATCTGCTGTGACCCTCTAACTGTGCCTCTTGGTGGTCATCCAGTCCTGTCCCCACGTCCACAGGGCAGCCTTCTTCCCAGCCCTGGACCCTTCCTGATACAGCAGCAGAACAAACCTGTGTGCTGCCAGCACTCTTGTCCTTTAGCAAACATGCCCCGAGCCCTTTTTTTTTGGCTTCTGAAATTTTTGCATCCATGCTTCTACTGCCATAGCTAGAAAATGACCGATTCACATCAGGCTTTGCTAAAAGGTCACAATATCGTGTTGGCCTAAGGATAGCCTCTGAGGTCTAACCCAAGATAGGAATGCAGCTGCATCTGTAAAGTCTCACAGCACTTCACCACAGAATTCCCTGATGATGGTAAACAGCTGGATAATCTTCTACCATGTGCTTATTCACATGCTGTTACAAGTCCAATTTCAAATATCATTTCTGAACAGGTACATTATGATTTTAATAAGTTTTTAAAACACCTCGCAAAATTCATCCCCTGCTTTCTTGGCTCTCCTTGACTGTCTTTTTGCTGGCCATAAATGAATAAAAAAGAAAAACTTTTCTCCTTCAGTTATTTTTATAACTGAGTCCTCCCTTAGCCTGTATTTTTGTTGCCTTCGGCGTCTCACAGCTCCCTCTACTGCCAAAATGCTCTCATGACACAAACAGTATTCGAGTTAGGAAGATAGATAACCCATGAATTTGGATTTCCTCCCCCAGATATTGATTGTACGCAACTTCCAGTGTAGTTATTTTTTACATAATCATCTTTCAGTGGACAGATATACCATCACAATGAAGAGGATACTATTTTAAACAATCCTTCAATTTTCAATTACAGAGATGTAAAACTGAAAAGCAAAGGCATGAAATACTAAAAAACCACCACCAAACAAAAGCAACATCCTAAAATCTGGAAATAACACTATTAGAAAATTCTGTCTATCTCTAGGCTATTTTGCTTAGATACTAAAACTTTTAAAAGAGAGAGGGCTAAACAATAATGGTGCACAATAAGCTATGTAACAGCTTCTTTCAGTTAAGCTATGTGCACTGAAAAAGCAGACTAAACTACAGGGCAGAAGACCAAATTATCAAAATGCTGTTATGGAGTTTGACCTTCATTATCAGCTGCATGTCATTAATGCTTCTAAATTGCACAGAAGTATATTAACAACTGCTTATCAAACGTTTCAGGAAATCGGAGAATGTAATTTTATTTCTTTTAGAAACTTTACTGGCTGGAATGAAAGCTGTATTAAGTTTCTGAATGTGCTCTCTCTTTCTTCCCCGAGTATGCTGAGCCTTTAAGTCTTGCACCCCTCTGGTACCTGAAAGTGGAACTCCAGCCCACGCCTAGTATCAATGCGCTTACCTCTGCCACATCCAGCCCAGTAACACCCTGATTCATGGTTATTTTGATCTAGGTTACCAGATTTGTTTGATTGATTTGCTACAATAATCAGTAGGCAGCTTTTTTTGTCAAGTATTTGAGAAATTATTTTAGTTAATTCTGGATTACATACAAGGTTACAAACTGAAAAATAACCTGGTAATTATTTACTAAAAAAACCACCCCCACCCATACACACAAAAAAAACAAAACCAAAAAGAGCTCAAAAGTATTTAACACCTCCAAATACTGCAGATAGATGTGGCCAGTGGCTGTACTTAAAATTTTTTAATGAGGAAAAATCTTTAAACATTCAGTCTTCAATACTTGAGATAAGATCATCAATTAAAGGGATGGAGGAGAATGGTACAGCTTCGGTAAACAAATAAATAAGATCATTATGTCAGAATGTGAATGAGATGGCCTAGTAAATTTTACTAGGAGGCTTTAGTTTCCTAGGCAGGAATTTCAGAATCCTGTGACTGTGCAACCTAATAGCAAATCGTTTGCTTTGGGGAAACCTACAATCCACGGTTCGTTTTGCTCAAATGAGGTAATATAGATGGGTACAAGACCTAAAGGGGGAAGTATTGTCATTGTTTCCTCCCCAAATCTCTAATATACTTCACCTAACACACATATGCTTAACTGATACTTGCTAAATAAAGACAAAGTTCATACTTATTTCTAATGATAGAACTTATTAAGGAAAATAACTATCCCTAAGTGCATGCTTACGAGAAGTCAAACGCTGATCAGATACACCTGCAGCAAGTATTGCCTTTTCTCTTAATAGGAGTCTAAAAAGGGTTAACAGCCACAGTGAGGAAGTTTTTGTTTAGTATACTCCTATGTTTCTGGTCACTCTTCTAGACACAATGAAAATAATTGTGCTTCTTTCAATACTAAGTGAACTGGCTGGACTGAGGATAGCACAACCCAATTGTAAGGCATCAGGTTGTGCAGCTTTATCTTCTTAGGCAGCTGTGTGTTGTGTAAATAAAGCACACAATATACACTATCTACCTGAACTTTTCCATGTTTGTTTAGGGTGTACAAGCTCCACCAAACTTCAAGGATAGGAGTGTGTCCTAAAACATTTTCAATTTTCCTAAACTGCTTCACAACAGGATTTCCCAAAAGGTCTTTTAGTTTCTTCCAGGCCATCACCTGCTCTCCAAGAAACCCCATCAGGAAGAACTCGTGAAGGCTTGTTACCACACGGCACAGCTGAAGGCCAACAGGACTCTGACAGGACTGACCACCTGCGTTCCCCCACACCCTTGTCTCACCTGGCCAAGCGCCCTGAGGACTGGCAGGGGGCAGCAGCCGGCAGTGCCCAGGTACTACCGCGGAAAATTCAGCCACCAGCTCAGAGGGAGCCTCCACAGGCACAGCACCGGCAGGAGAAGCAGGAGTTCCCGCCATCTCCACTGTCTTTACCCCACTGGCATGGCCGGTAGCCCCTCAGCAGTGCGCGGA